GAAAGGGAATAGGGGTTTGCCCTTACATTAAGGGACTGAGTAGCAGAGGCTCAAGAATGGAGCCTTAGCCATGTGTCACCATGGCTATCCACTTCCTGGAATGAGTCAGGGATCCAAATAAGGAAATCATACAGAATAGCAACACTCAAGTAGTAGTCATGGAACAGAACAGGAACAGATACAGGCACCCTAAACTCTCATTCCCTCCTACCTAAAATGTAGTGGTCCTGCTCCTTTACCCCTGTGGAGGGTCCTTTCAAGAGAAGGAGAGGGACATTGGTATCTTGTGTGTCTATGGATCCTGGGGTAGATGCATGGCCTGAGACAATAAGCAGTCTTCTGTCACCACCATCCCCCCCAAGACAGTCCTGTGATTGATCTGGGTTGGTGGGTAGACTCTCTCATTCCCACTGCTTTGTACATCAGGCAAAGGTCCTCGTCCTGTCCCACGCTTTTCCCAGCTCTCTGAGCCTGGCACATAGTAAGTGCTTAATAAATGCTTGTTTGCTAAGTGACTAGCTAGATGCTAATTAATCCATTAATAGGTCAAGACATAAAATCATCCTATCCACATGTAGGCCTCACCTGTGGGCATCCATCCCTTCTAGTTGAAGATGAAAGGCTTGGTTACAGAAAGAGGGTGGGGCAGGGCTGAGACTCTTGTCTGAGGGCAGGGGCAGTGGAAATGAGAGTCTACCCACCAATCCGGATCAATCAGATGAGTGTCCAGCTGCTCTTAGGGTGGTGGCAGAGGCAGGAGACTGTGCATTGTCACAGGCCATGGACCCACCCCAGTATCCATAGTCACACAAGATACCTATGTCCCCTCCTTCTCTTGAAAGGACCCACTACAGGGGTAAAGGGAAAACAAATAAAAGTGGAAAGGAAAACATTCCCTGATCTCAAGGAGCTTACATTCTATTAGAAGAAGACAACACATAAAAAGGAAGCTGAAAAAAGGGGATGATGGGAGGGGATGAAGGTACCCATTGCAGGTGTATGGTAGAGAAAGTCTTGAGTGCAACCTGGAAAGGACTGAGTCTTGGAGGTCCTGGACACTCTCCTTAAAGGGAGATTCTGGGAAGAGTCATTAAATCAAAGGGAGAGGCTACGGGGTGGAAGGTGCTTCTGGTGTGAAAATTGAAAGGCTGAAGTGAGGTTTCTGGGACATGGTACAGAAAGTCGAGGGGCAGCTAGGTGGCACAGTGAATAGAATGCCAGGCCTGGAGTCAGGAGGACTCATGTTTGTGAGTTCAAATCTGGCCTCAGACACTTACTAGCTGTATAACCTTGGGCAAGTCACTTAACCCTGTTTGCCTCAGTTCCTCATCTGTAAAATGAACTGGAGAAGGAAATGACAAACCACTCCAGTATCTTTACCAAGAAAACTCCAAGTGCGGTCATGAAGAGTCAGACACAACTGAAAAATAACTAAACAATGACAATAAGAAGAAAGTCTGGGACTCGGCCTAGAAGGGAAATGAAATGATTGTTAAAGTTTTTAAAGAGTAAATTTTTTTAAAAAATGAATTTTTTTTTGCCTTTACATCACCTACATTTCTTACTATATGCCTCTTCCCACTCTTTCCCAGAGAGTCATTCCTAAAAATAGTTTTAAAAAAGAGGAAGAAATAAAGTTAGTTTCATAAAACAAAAAAGTCTGGTGTTATATTCAGTAACATCCATGATTCCCTTCCTCTGCAAAGAAGCAAGTGGAGGCATCTTGTCATATCTTCTTTGGGGACAAGTCTGGTCATTTTGATCTTGTAGCATTCAGTTTCAATTGTTATGCTGTCCTTTTCATTGATGTTATTGTAGTTATTTGGTATATTGTTATAGTTATTGGGTATACTGTATTATTATATAGTATGTATTTTATATATTGTGTAAATTACCCAATCTGGTACATTCTCCCTGATATTTATAGCCAGTTAACATATCCCCAGTATAGTTGCCATCAGTTACCTTTGCAAAGGCAATCTACTGAGAAGTTAAGAACAAAAACCAAAATACATAAACTTCTGAATCCAGATGCCCAACCTCCTTCATGACCTTGGTCCTTGGGGAGAGTGAAATCACACTTAAAATGGTGACTTCCAAGATTTCTCAAACCAGTGGCAGGACTGATGGACAAATCACTCTCTTGTTTTATAACACACCTTGGCTTGGTTGGCCAGGCCGATTCACTTCAGTCCTTCTTTGGGTGGGTCTCTCCTCAGGGGTGGCTCCTCTTGGGGAGTGGATGTGGACTTGACTGGGATATTTTGTCATTTTAAAGCTAACAAGGTTGTAATCCATCCCATTCTATTTTGAATACCTAATATTGGGAAAGATTAGATACAATGGGAATATAAGAAACCTAGATACTATCTATTCATAGCTACTTGGTGGTCCAGATGGGGGGATGAAGCTAGTGAAGCAGCATCTGTAGTTACCTCTAACACAACCTTTTTGTCTATCTGGAAGTCCACATCATTTCTTCCTCCTCACGCAACAACCATGAGGGAGAGAGTTCTCTTGGTTTGAGCCTTATGCATACACACTAAATCCTAACTCAATAGCCAATAAAACGCTTTCCATTGTCGTTCAGTAAACTGTTAAGAGATAGTCAGAGGATACCTGGGCATGCTCTAAAGAGTGGGAAAGAACCCCTCCATTACACATGCCCAGAAGCGTAGGTTAGATTTCAGCAGGTAGAGAATATTGTTTATGCTGGGCCCTCACTGTCTTGTCCTCTATTACACCTGCTTCTGTTTAATTCCCTTTGTGCCAATTCATATAAGTCTTTTCATACTTTCTTATATTCGCAATGTTTATCATTCCATACAGCTCAGTAATATTCCATTATATTCATGTACCACAATTTGTCTAACTCTTTTCAATTGATGGATGTATATAGTTTGTTTATAATCCTTGGATGCAGAAAAGAGCCAGAGTTACTTAATAAAAAGGCAAGATGTGCACACATATTTTCCCTTCCCTTTCATTGCAAAACTCCTTGAAAAGCAGCCCCTAACTCTTGACTTTTATTTCCTCTTCTCCCATTCACTTCTCAACCCTTTCCTAGACTCTCTCTCCAACTTTGGTTATAGTGAAACCACCTCTTCTTCCTCTTTCAGTCCTCCTACCTCACTGACCACTCCTCAGTCCCCTTTGCTAGATCTATCTCCTAGGCCTTATTCATGGGTATTTACCAAAATACCCATGGTTATTCTCCATTTCTGAAGTATTCTCCCTCCTTACTTAAACCTTTTAGAATTTCTCATTTCCTTTGAGGCCCAGCTCATGTGCTATCTTCTGGAAGCCCTTCTTTTTCTCCTTATTTTGAGATACTCTTTCCTTCCTCCTGGAATAATTGTGCATATAGTTATCTATTATCTATTTGCATGTTGTTTCCTCCAGTAGAATGTAATCTCTTTTACAAGCATTGACTATTGAGGGGATCATAAATTTAAGGATGAAAGGGACCTTAGTGGTCATCTCCTGGAGAGATGTCCAATTCACATCATATGAAATATCCTGCAAAACTCTTAAATTTTGGCAGAACCATGTTAATTTCTAATTGGGAAATGCTTCACAAAATAAATAAAAAATACAGTATGATGTAGATAATGCTCATTTGTGGTTTTCTAAGCCAACATATGGCTATTGGGGATCACTTTCTATTTGAGTTTGGGACCCCTTATTTACTCTAACACTTTCATTTTTACAGTTGAAGAAATTTAGACTTTGCCCAAAGTTAAATAGATAGTCAATGGTAGGGCTAGGATTTGAACCTAGGGTCCTCAGTCTGCCAATCCAGCAACCCTTCAACTTGGTCTTTGTATATTTGGTAGATAATACAATGCTTTGCCCATTTAAAAAATCAGACACATTTTCATGTATGTAGGGAACTTCTGGTGAGGAATTTCTTCTACCATTGTAGAGTCATAACTTTTCTACAACTTAAAGCCATAAAGGATTTTCTGTGGCTACTGAGAGGTTGCACAATCTGCCCAGGTTATCAATATGTGTTACAGGTCAGGCTGGAACTCAGGTCTTCCTTGACTCCAAAGCTGACTTTCTGTCTACTACATCCCAATGCCTCTTGTATATATTAGGAGTTTAATAAGTATTTTTGGACTAGATATTATCAGGTGACCTTGAGGAGAGCTCCTTTCCCCTGACCTTGAGTGTGTCTCTCAAGGTTTTTATCCCTGCTTCCTACCCACAGACAATTTTCTTGCCTCTTGTCCCAGATGCAAAAGTTACTAATTATACCTCTGCTGTTATACTTTCTTCCATGTTCATAAGGAAAATATTGTGGTGGTTTTTTTTCAAACAAAGACAACAGAAATTTGCTAGTAAGGAGATAAATAGGGAAAGATGTTTTTTAGTATTTAAGTTAATGGGGCATTATCATCCCAGATTTTGGGAGACCAGAGGCAGAGAAGATGGGAAGAAATTCTGGAAGAGAAAATTTGCCTTATGTAGTTGAACCTATTTACTCAAGTCTAACAGAAACATTAATAAAGGAATAATGATAATAATAAACTCAGCAATCCATCAAAATGAGAAGGACGTAAGATGTCCTGATAATCTGCTCTTCGCACTGAGGTTGCTCTAAGCTGTCAGAATCCTCACTGTTGTTCCAGAGAGAAAATCCTCCCATATACCCAGGGTGACTAACTGGGGAAGAGTTCTTTGCAAGCAGCGTCAGATGTCTGAGGGTGATTTGCTAGGCTGGGCTGGGCTCTCTCAGGCAGTGCTCCCTTTTCAAGGACTGTGAAGCTTTCCCCTCAGTATCGGGACGTCTGTTGGTCAGTTACCTGGACAATTTAATAACGTGAGGTTCGAGTCGGTCAGGATTCAAAATGAAGGAACGATTCAAAGGTATTGGATGGCTCACCCATCGCTGACTTCACATCCCATTGACCTTGGCAGACCCAAGTCAGCTGGCACAGTGAGTACATTGTAAACGACCCCCTAAAAATAATGCAACTCTGTTTCTTTCTTCTCAGGTTTGAGGTTTCTGAGAGCTCTCAGGCTGATACAGTTTTCAGAAATATTGCAGTTTCTGAATATCCTTAAAACAAGGTAAGCTGACTCATTGCTATGGATCCACCTTATTCCAGTACTTGTCATACAGTTGTAAATATCCAGTTGGTGGTAGTTTATCAGCTCCTAGAGCCCTTAATTTTGGTGGCCTTACAGGTATACTATCTAGTAAAAAAGAGTTGGAGAATCTGAGATACTGGAGAGGATAGAGATAGTACAACAAGACAGGAAAGTTCAGGATTTGGGGTCTTTTACTCAATTGGAGCTTTCAGGGTGAAAGACAGAGGAATGTATGTGTTTGAACATGGCTGTAGCTAGTGAGTTCTTTTTGTCTATTTTTCTTTTAAAGATGTTTTTATTAATGCATTTTTATTTAAAAAATTAGAACCATTTCCCAGCATATCCCCTAGCATGTCTGCCATGTAACAGAACTGACAAAGACATCAAATCTGAAAATATAGAGAATCATAGGATCAGATTCAGAGCTGCAAAGAACCTTAGAAACCATCTGGTCCATCCCTTTCTTTTTCACAGGTGAGGAAACAGAGGTCCAGAGAAGTCAAGAAAATTATTTAAGGTCATGCAGGTAGTAAATGTCAGAAGTAAGATTTTAACCTTGGTCCTTTGACTCTAAGTCCAGTGTGGTTTCCCTTATACTATACTAGCTCCCAGTTACATACATATTTTTTAAAATATTTATTTGTTTATTTTTGAGACTGGACCTCAAACTGTAAGTAGCCTTCTCTATCACTCAGAAATGGCCACTCACAGCCCAAACCCCAAATGGATCGGCATGGAAGCTTTAGCCTGCTCCAGTTTTCTGATCTGGGCAGGTTTGGCCCTCGTTAGACATCCTGGTAGTGCACTCTTCCTGAGGGGCGCACCTGATTCACTGCAAACACCTGATCAGCTTTAGCCCTATGCCAGATCAGAACTCCCGAACTCAAGTGATCCAACCAATGGCAATACAGGCATGTTCCTAGCTTCCAGTTACATTGGGTACTCATAGTCCCTTGTCTGCCTATTTTTGTTTGAATAAAAAATACAGTAATAGAAATCCCATTAAAAAAATGTCTTAATAGGAGACCCAGATTCAGAGCCCCCCAAAACACTCCATTCTTTTGAACTTCCAAAAAAAGTTGAGTTTTACTACTTTCCGTCTTCCCAAGATTATTCACTACCATTAATCTGAATTCAGCTGATGTTTAATGTCCTTGTTATTTCAGTATAACAGTCAGGTTATATACTATTATCTTGGCAGTCAGTCATTTTTCTATCAGTTATATCAGGTGCCTTGAGATAATACTCAGAGAATGGCTATGGCCATTTACATGTTGTTGTTGTTTAGTTGTTTTCAGTTCTGTCTGACTCTTCATGACCCCATTTAGGGTTTTCTTGGCAGAAATACTGGAGTAGTTTGCCATTTCCTTTTCCAGCTCATTTGACAGATGACGAAACTCAGACAAAGAGGGTGAAGTGACTTGTCCAGGGTCACACAGCCAATAAATGCCTGAGGTCAGATGTGAACTCAGGAAAATGAGTTTTCCTGACTCTAGGCTTGGTACTCTATCCACTGTCCCACCTAGGTGCCCCGTTTAACATGAGTGATACCTAACGAATGGAGAGAGCCCATGCTTAATGGATTAGGAAATTCTAAAACATCCCTGAATTAAAAAGCAAAACTTACTCAAAAAAAGAAAAACAGCATCTTTTGGAAGGCAATCACAAATCTCTCCTTGTGCAAAAAGAAAGTTGTTTTATTTTTGAGTATATTTTTGATGTTCGTTTTTCCTCCAGCAAGACCCCTTGAGTTTTGTTTGTGAATTACCTTTAGGGGAAAGCTTAAAAGTTGATTCCTATTGTAAATCATGATGTTACCTGTAAACCTTGGCTAGGAAGGACTTTCTCTGGTGACTTAACAATGGAACAGAGCTACCCAGGTCCTGGAGAAACAAACAGAAGAAATCAGAGCAGATACTCACAAATTACAATTCTGATTACCCAAGATAAACAGTTTGCATAATTATTTCCTTGCTTCCCCCTCTGTCCAAATGTAGTACTAGATTTCAACCCTATGAATCCATGACAAATTCAAAATGGATGTTACCAACTCTCAGTTATCTACTTTGTGTGTTATCTTTGGTGAGCAGTGGTGGGTTTTTGTTTGTTTGTCTTTTCCTTCATCTAGAGTAGATCATTTTGATTCCCTTCTCTGGCAAATGTGCATATGGACTATTTGTATCTCACCTGTGGTAGAGCCTTCTGAGCTTGTATTGGTCTGATCAACCCACAGTCAGACACACTATACTTTGACTCCAACATGGTGATGCCATTTTGGTCCTCTTCAAGAACGTAGGACAGCAACTACCACATAGGGTTCCTTCTTTTATAGATGTATAATATAATTTATAAAGAAATCCCATAGTTTTTCAAAAGTGCCTCAATAGCCCCAGCCTCAGAGCCCTTGGCAGATTCTTCTTTTCCTTTGCTTTCTAAAAAGAATGCTACAATTCACTAAATCCCATCTACCCCCAAAATGGTATTTTTAAAATATAGTTTTGTCCATCCCAAGTAGAAAGCCAGAGACTTCCCATGGGTTCTTTAAAGCCTAGAGCAGTTGGAGTCCCAACAGGGAGAGGAGATTGCTCTCCTTCTGCAAAATCATTGGTTCATTTATTTCAACAAAACTTAAGCCAAGGTCAGGGAGAAGGGTAATAAGATCGTAGATTTAGGGCTAGAAGAGAACTTGGAGGTCATCCAATCCAACCCATCATTTTACAGATGAGAAAACTGAGGCCCAGAGAGGTTAAGTCACCTGCTCAAAGTCATGTACCTTAGAAGTGGCATAGTCATGATTTAACCTTGGCCTTCTGACCCCAGATCCAGTACTTTTTCAACTACATCATGTCACTCATTACTAGCCCCAAAGATCACTAAAATGATGAACTTTAACAACAGGCATGTATGTAACCGACCACATAGTAGGCCTCCATGCAGTTGTTTGGTATCCATTCTCTTTGGTGTTATATTTCCCCCAAAATCCTCTTTCCTGATAAATTAGTTAATTACACATTAGCGTATATGTTGTAGTCTCATTCCTACTGGGGTCACTATAAAGCCCTCCTTGGTCCTTGATGCTCTGCTATGCCCATGGATGCCCCTCGCTAAGTGATTAACTCCTAGATCAGCCCTTCATTTGCTCAGAAGAATCTTAGAGACTTCTGAGCAAATGTTTGGCTGATTGTAGCCTTTCTCTGAATGTCACAGCAAGTCCTGCCTCTTCTTTTCTGCCCATTCCCATCTACAGATCCAAAAGAGGGCTAGCTATTTAGAGTCAGGAGATAGGAGACACAGTCAAACCAAGAAGACAACAAAAGTTATTGTTTCTGATTCCAAAGGATGCGGCTTTCATGAGAAGAAAGATATCTCAGTAGAACTTAATGACTCTTAGATCTCAAAACAGGGAATAAGCATTTAATAAGTGCCTACTCTGTGCCAGGCACTGTGCCAAGCACTTTCAAATGTTATCTCATTTGATCCCTACAACAGCCCTGGGAGGCAGGTGCTGTTATTATCTCCATTTTGTAATTGAGGAAACTGAGGCAGAGGTTAAGTGGCTTGCCCAGGATCACACAGCTAGCTAGATTTGGACTCAGGTCTTCTTGATTTCTTTCCTGTCTCCTGTACCACCTTAATAAGGTAACTGTGGATCTGTCCAATAAATACTACAAGGGCAGAAAAGAGAACAGCTTTAAATATCAATAAGAGAGGTGGAGGCTAGGCATCCACAAGGATTTCCTGATGGCGTTATACTACCTAGGAATTGTTTATTGGGTGAGGCTGTAGAAGCTCTTTCTTCAGACATTTTTGTTTCTTTGTTCCATTATCTCTATGGACACTGGTTCAAATGAATATTTCACCATAATTTCTCCAGTGGGGAGGATCTTCTTTAATTGAATTTCAAATAATGGGGCTGAAGTCATTGATGATGTGGGTCATAATTTGAAAGTCATCGATTTGTTTCCAGTGTCTCTGTCATTGCAACTGATCTCAGAGCTAGAAAGAACAGGGGAGAGAGAAAGAGAGAGAGAAGAGAGAGAGAGAGAGAGAGAGAGAGAGAGAGAGAGAGAGAGAGAGAGAGAGAGAGAGAGAGAGCAGAGCAAGACAGACAGACAGAGAGAGAGACCAGAGAGAGAGACAGAGACAGAGAGAAAGTGAAGGAGAATTTAGAGGACAGTAGGAAAGTAGTCAGAGTGTATATGGATGCAAGGAGACAGAGAATAAAGAGACAGATTTCCTCTGTGCCATCAGCACCACGCCTGTACACAAGGCATCCATTAGGTGGTAAGGTTACTACCTTTAAAGTCAGGTGCTGGATCTTGTGTAACTGGGCTGTATAAAGCCATCTGAGCTTTGCCCCATTGCACGACTCAGGATTTTAGAAAATAATCATTCTAGAGCCAGAACTGGATCTATTTCTCTGATTCAAAGGTTATATTTTTCTAATGAAATAGTACAGTTAATCAGAATTATCTCCATGTGGATTATTGACTCAGGATGTTGCCTGTGCTTTTTTTTCTTTTCATGATGTTTTCTAGTACGATGATGAAAATTAAAAAAAAAACTGAACTGTCCTCTCCCCCCAGCAGCTTGAAAATTTGTAAATATTTAATTTTAAATTACCTTCGGGGACAAGGAAGATGAGAAAAATGTGTTATTTTGTTCGTCACATTTAACCAAGAGACAGTATGGTACAGTATGGTGCTAGCTGATCTCAGTCAGAGAGAATGAGTTCAGGTCCAGACATTGACAGGGATTGATTTTAACCAAATCAGTCTACCTTTCAGTATCCACAGTAGCATTTTTTGGGGAGGTAATTGAGGCTAAGTGACTTGCCCAGGATCACACAGCTAGTAAGTGTCTGATACCACATTTGAACTCATGTCCTTCTGACTTCAGGGCCAGGGCTCTATCCATTGCACCACCCAGCTGTCCCCACAGTAACTTTCTAACACTCCAAGTTACAAAGAAGTTGCTGA